CCCGACAGCGGCGGCGGCGATGAGGAGGAGCGCGGGGGGGGGCGGCGGCGGGACGGCCGGTTGTTCGCGCCGCTGAAGGGACACGAAGCAGCGCCGCGCCGAGGCGGGGGCGGGGGGCCCCGAGTCTCGCTGCCCCCCCCGCAGCCCCGCCGGGGAGTTTCTTCCACATCCCCCCCTCAAACACACCGAGACCCCCCCCCGTCCCTCGGGGGCGGCCCCGCGGAGCGCCGCTCCCTCCTCCTCCTCCCCCTTTATTACCCTTTGTGTGCGTCTCCGCCTTCCTCCCTGCGCCCGGGGGCCCTGAGGTGAGTGCGGGGGGAGCGGCGGGGCGGGGGGGGTTGTTTGTTTACCCCGTGTTTACCCCCCTGTTTACCCCGGGGGGGGCCCCGCCTGTCACTTGGGGCCCCTTCCCGGCGCCCCCCGCCCCAGCTTTGTTGTCGGGGGATGCTCCGGGGATGCTCCTTTGGGCCCCTCTGAAGCGGGAGGGGAGGCGGGTGATGGTGGCGGGGGCGCCGGGCAAAGTTCGGGGTGGTGCGGAGGGTGCTGAGCCCCGGCCGAGTCCCGAAAGTGTTGTTTTCCTGGCATTWCGGGGAGCCCCGGCGTTGCCCCCCGGCTTCCAGGCCGTTGTTTGACTTATTGTTTGAGTTATTAAACCCCTGCGGTGGTGAAGGTACAAAGACCACTTGTACAAAGACCCTTTCCCGAGCTGAACTTCCAGGGATAGACAGTCCAAGAGCTGGACTTGGTGTTCGCAGGATTGGGATGTGGTTGGTAGCAGCCCCTGGTTATCGGTGGTGCCCGGCTATATTTGGTCAATGGTTTGTTCAAATATATATATGTCGGGATGTGTTTTTCCATGGCTTTCTGCTGGGAAGGCCAAGTGTCTCCATCCCTGCTCAGTGTGTTGGTCAGGTGCTGCTGGTGARCTGACCTGACCATGTTTTCTACTGTTTCGAGGGAAAGTTACATGTTAAAACGTCTGAAATGGGTTAAAATGTAATGGCTWTGAATGTCAAACTGAATTCTGGCCTCGAGGAAATGTTGTGAGAAGCCTTCTAGATGTTTGCAAGGATCCAGAAGTAAGAGTTGGGGCATTAACACCAAGTTGAAATGAGCGAGTCCCCCACGCGAGTAGGATGTTTATATTGAAATTGCTGTTGTCTGCTTATTTCTGGAGCATAATTATGTCCTCTGTAATTTCCAAAAGACGGTTGGAGTGCTTTGGTATACTTTGGGCTTATTATTTTTGGTTTATTAAGCGCTGAATGCTGAAACATGGAGTAGGCCATGAGTGTGTGTTCCAGAGGGGCATCCCAGTTCAATGGTGGTCAGCAGAGAGWGYRTGTGTCATCTGTGCCTCACGCTGARGAATGGCCACAAGAAAGAGCTTTTCTGTCATGCTGGGGTGTCTCCCATTTCTGATTTGTACCCACGTGTCCTGCGTGAAGCAGCAATTTTGGGATCGGGCTGGGAAGAGTTTGCGAGCGCCGTAATTTGATGGGGTRGAAGGAATAGGAGAAAACCAGAGTTGGATTGGTACTTGACAGTGTTGTGATGGAGAATTGGAGGTAGCAGCCATAACTGCRGTTCTTTCTAATAGTTTGCCATTAGTTTTCGTTTTGCTTGTGATAACTTTGGGTTTAAACATGTGGGAAAAAACCTCAATGGTGACAATCACCAAAATCAGAAGATCTGTGTATTAACACCAATTATTTACACATATGACTGCTTTTACTTTACTACAGATAGGAGCTGGACAGCAAAAGCCTGTCCAAGAGTAAAGGCCATCATTTCCTTATTTTATTTCATGACAGTGCTTCTTTTCTCAACCTGAGATCTCATTGATCTGCTTTCATTTGCRCATATAAAGCTATAGTGGCTGCAGGATTACATTCCCCGTGTATGTAGAGCCGCAGCTCTGCCCCCAACTTCCATGGCCTACAGTGATGAGATACATGAATTATTACAGGAATTTAACTATCTTTGTGTTTSGGTCTTTAAAATAGCTATGGTTTGATTTATTAGGGTTGCACAGTAAAATACCCGGATTTCGRGCAGAATTCTGAAGCTGGGCAGCATAATTCAGGGTCTTCTCTTACTTTAAATCCAGGAGATAAAATTACTGATAAACCTTCACTGCCATAGGCCTCCAGTCCTGCAGACACATCTGTGCTGGAAGGAGAGCTGTGGATTTGGTGGGATTGGGGAGGGAAGGTCTCTCTGGTGGGACTGGGATTCTGGGTGGCAATTCCTATATTTCTGCAGGCTTCCAACAAAGGGGTCTCAGGCTAATTTGGGGTTTCTGTCTCCTGTCACAACCTTCCAAGAACTGCAGGAGTTGAATCTTTCAACCTGAGCTAGGCAAGACTGTGAATTATCAACCTCTGTAACTAAAATGCAACAGAGTTGCCTTTCATTWGGGTTCTTAAGCTCTTTTTGCTGCTGTTATCCAGGTATTTACAAGCGCTAATTGTTTTTAGGAAAACTTTGTGAGGATTTCCCAGTTCTTTATCTTTGGAGACAAAATTAATAATTCTTTTTCCTGTATTGTGGGTTAGTGGCTTCTTGGGCTCTAAGGGCAGATAGTTTGGAATTAGCAAGGACCTGCCATGGCTGTGGATAAAGATGCTGTTTAGGCCTGACTTTAATGTTTCCGTGGAGTTTGCCGCCGTACCTTCCCTTCTTTGTRGACAAATGAGTTGGTTTCTATTTGGATTAGGGAGGCGGATGTTTGAGGAGAATCTTTATGATGCAATACCTTCAATAATTGAAGTTTTCTTGTACAACTTGCCGTCCTTCCTTTCTTTGATTGTGGAGGGATCAGTTTTTCTCCTTGTTAACAAACCCTGGACATCCTGGCATCAGTAAGAGCCCTCTCCAAGATGGAACRCCTTGGGTTTCAGCTGGCTCATTTAATTCGCTCTGTCAGTAGATTTATTTATTTTTTTTCCTCTTGTTACTCATGGTTATTCCTTCTGTGTGGAAGATCAGGGGCTGGAATAGAGTCTGTAAGTCCAGCAGCAGTTTGTGGATCAGCAGCCAGTGCTCCCTGTGGATGTTCCCTGTGGAAAGCAGCAGGCCAGGTGGGAGGCCCCTCGTGCCCATCTGGAGCCCCTCTAATGTCCCCGTGTCTTTCTATGGGCTTAAGAGGCCACGTGCACAAAGCAGTTCAGTCTCATCTGTTCATGGCCAGGGAYACAAATTTTGAAAGTGGCTGAGCTTCCTTTGCGAAAAATCCTATCAAAACTTTGGGAAAGTGGGGTATTCTGTCTGGTTTTTTTGGGTTGTTTGAGGGTTTAGTTTTGTTTGGTTGTCCCTGTGTTGGTTCTTGTTCTGTCCCAGTGGAAGTGGAAATCAGAATTACCATTGATTTCAGAAATAAAAAGATACAGGATACATTTATTTCCTTTTTAATGCTCTTATGTCATTAAGGATCTGCTTATTCTTTTAAAGAGTTACTTGAACGTTGGAAACCACAGGCTCTCATTGGCTTTTCTTTGTATTTATTTTTGGAACTATTAGGTGGAATAATACTGCTCAATCAGTTTCAAATGGGCCTGCACAGGAACCAAGGCTGGTATTAGGGATGAAATTTTGGAAGAGCATTGGAAATAGCTTTCAGGATGCTTTAATTTCTCTCCATGTATCTGSAGCTAAACGAAGAGGGAATAAAACAAAAAGCAGCAATTAAGAAATTAAGAAGTGCTGACTCCTTTCCTCTCTTAAATTCTGAGTTCTTTATTATAGCAATACCAATTTTTGTTTGATGAATCATGTAGAAAGGAGTTCAGGCTTTCTACTGTTTTTAAATCAAGGTAAAATTTGTCAAAATCAGATTGTAACTAAGAAGTATATGAGTACATATGCAAATGAGCTCAGCTCCATATACAAATAAACACATGCATATATATAAATATATAAATGAGCAACTACAAGAAGAGTAAAAATTAGAAAATTGGAACTTTTCGGTGCTGTTTGAAGTTGCAGTGAGTGTGTGGCTCCCAGGATGTGYATTGTGAGCCCTTCAGCTGCAGGCTCTTGTTTTGCTGTGGCCCAGGGCAGCAGGAATCAGTGAGAGCCCTGCCATGGCTATTCATAGACCTTTGTGAAATGAGTCGCTCATCTCTCTTTATCTGCAGCCTGACAGGTGCTCCCAGCCCCAAAATCTCCAGTGCCTCCCATCCTTCCCATGGGAATGACTAAGGAACAAATCCTGGAGTGGGTTCAATTGTTGGGTCTTTTGGCTGGAGCTGGAGATGCCCAAGATCCATTTCTTGTTTGTTTGATTTTGGTTTTTTWWKAWWWTYYKKTTYMRGRRSWTTWAA